CACTCGAAGAATAAAAAAGTTACTTACCTCTCGTAACTGTTGTTCTTTGAGATGTGTTGCTCATGTCCATTCCAAAGCCCACCTCCCTCCCCTTCGTCGGAGTCTGCCGGCAAGAAGGAACTGAGGGGGGTGGTATGCTGGCAGGGGCTTATATGCAGGCACTACTCTAGGGGGCTCCCTGCAGGGCCAATGGGTACCACTAAGGGAAAACTCTCCGACAAGCTATGCATGCAGCATGCCCACACCTGCATGGAATGGACATGTGCAACACATCTCAAAAAACAACAGTTACGAGAGGTAAGTAACCATTTTTTCCTAGCATACAGCATCAACTGGAAATACCATAAAATCGTGAGTATAATGCACTCTTTTTTTTTTCCCCAACTTTTTTTGGGGTCAAAGTCGGGGTGCGCATTAATACATAAATGTTTTTTTAAGTTTTATTTTGATGTGGACTAGGCCTCAGGGCCATATTTTACCCAGTACAGAGGGAAGTGCTGTGGTGGTCTAGGTCTCCGCTCACTGCCTGCCCAGTGCTCCTTCAGACTGCGCCCAGAAACTTTCCCGCTGCAGCGCGGTGTGGGGGTTGCCGTCCTGCCAGGCTTCCGGACAAGGCAAGGAGCCAGCAGCACAGCCAGGCTGCAGCGCCCTGGCTTGCTGCCTGCCTGGTGCTCCTTCAGGCTGCGCCCAGGGGTCCCCGGGGCAGGCGCGAGCTTAGCGAGCACCAGGGAGGGAAGAGGCTGTGCAGCCCGAACCTCCCGGGCGAGCCTGCAGGTGGGAGTGGCATGTCCCTCTCTCCTGCAGCCCGTGGCTGCTTCTGGGAAGTAGGTGAGGCTGGGTTTGGTGCTGGTGCGGCGCATGGGCAGCTGTCCGGGGGGCAGGTTTTAAATTCCGCCACTGGCTCCCCGGGCTGCGCATGTGTTTCCTGGGTGAGCCTGCAGGTGGAAGCGGTGTGTCTGTTGTACTTTGAAAAAGATCCCGGGTACTTCTTTTGAGGGATAAAGGCAAAGGCCAGGTCTTGGTGATACACGTCTAGCAACCCACCTTCTCCTAGACATGGGCTAGATCCCACCCACACACCCTGACTCCTGGTCACCAATAGTTCCCCCTGACTGCACTGGCCAGGTGAGTTAGATGGGGGAGGGGTGGAGCCGGGCTTCTGCCGATCTGGATCAATGCTCCCGGGTTGACAAGCCGAAAACCCGGGGCCCCTCTGCAAGATGCCTATTTATCCCTCTCATGCAGCCAATTAGTCATCAGCTTGCCTTTCTTAATGCTGCTTCAAAGAGAGTTCTTCCAAGGGCAGGCACTTGCTGCTTGATTCCCAAGGCATCTGTCTGTCTGTCCAGTCTTCTTAATGAGCTCACTTTGCAGGTATTGTCTTGGATCTGGCTCCCAGACCCTCTCCACCCTTGCAACTGTTGCTGGAGGTGTTCACCTTTCATTCTCCATTCACACCCCATTCATTTCAACAGGGCAATCAAGAAAAGGGGAGAGGTCAAAAGACATTTTTTTCTTACAAGATCTATATATCTTAATACAAAGTTATAGGAGAAATGTTACAGAGATTATATAAGAACACTTAACAAAGATATCTAAAAGGCCAAGATCTTAAATACAAAATATATCACAGGGATTTCTCCATGTCCCTCCCTCCAGCTCTCCTGCAGCCTGGGGCCACCTCCGGGAAGCGGACAAGTCTGGGCTTGGTGCTAGAGGGTGGGCTCCTGGCTGCAGGACAGCCACCTGTTGGCAGAAGTTGTGGGGCTGCTAAGCTCGATGGCTTCAAACCCCGGGACACATTATACATAGGAGTTCAGATTTTTTCATCACGCTAAGATTCCAAAGTCAGGGTGCGCATTATACTCGCAATTTTATGGTAGACTGTTCTCTTCCAGCATTTGACCTTGAGATGCTACTTCTCCTCCTTCTCTCACTGCTAAACTTTCCTTTTATTTGCCTTTATTATTGGGCACAGACAACTACAGAATAGATGCCACACTGTCATGTTGAATATTACGTATAGATCAGAATAACAGAAAGAGAAAAATGGGATGAGAGAACATTCAACACAACAAAGCCAACTTCTGTGCATAACTGGGCAAATATTCAGTTATCTTCAGTATTTGTTATGTGTAATCTATAATCAGTTCCATATCAATGATATGGATCGGCATTTCTCTAAATGTCTTCTCAGAGCCCAGTGAGCAGTGGAAGTGTAGGTAATGCTGATAGAAAATATTTACCTTCCAGGGTTTGGCAAATTCTCTGGTTCGGCAGCTGCCAGATTCCGAGAGTGCTGGACCAGAGGTTCAACCTGTACAAATACATTAGCAGCAAGAGGAAGACCAAGGATATGTTAGTCCCTTTACTCAATGTCAAGGGTGGGGGGCGGCGGACAATAACAGGAAATGTGGAAATGAGAGAGGTGCTTAATGACTTCATTTTAGTTTTCACCAAGAAATTTGGTTGTGATTAGACCCCTAACATATCGAATTTTTACTGGCATTCACTAGGAGCAGAGGCTAAAATAGGTAAAGAACAAGTTAAAATTACTTTGAAAAGTTACTTTAAAAACTAGTAGTCCTGCGTCACCTTAGAGCTTCAGATAAGATGATCTTGAGATTTCTGGATTCAGGGCCTGCTGAAATGCATCCTAGAATACTGAAGGAGTTGACTAAGGAGATATATGAAGCATTAGAAATGTGGTCTTTGAAAGTTCATGAAAGACAAGAGAGATTCTAGAAGACTGGAAAAAGGCAAATATAGTGTCTGTCTATAAAAACGAAAATAAGAACAATCCAGAGAATTTGTCAGCTTCACTTCTGTACCAGGAAAGACAATGGAGCTAATAATTAAGCAATCAGTTTGCAAACATAGAAGATAAATACTAAAGTGATAAGTTAGTCAAAATGGATTTAAGAAGAAATTGTGTCAAACCAACCTGCTAGCTTTCTTTGACAGGGTAAAAAGCTTTGTGGATAGGGCAAAGTGTTAGGTGTGGTTTCTCTTGACTTCAGTAAGGCTTTTGATACTGTCTTGGATGACCTTCTCATAAATGCCCTAGGGAAATACAACCTATATGGGGCTACTATAAGGTGGATGCAAAATGGATTGGATAACTGTCCCCAGAGAATAGCTATAGTTCAGTCATGCTGGAAAAGCATGAGTGGGGTCCCACATGGATCAACTCTGGGTCCTCTTCTGTTCAACATCTTAATCAAAGATTTAGACAAGGGCATAGAGAGTACATTAAGGCTGTGTCTACACTGGCGCGATCTTGTGCAAAAGCGGCTGCTCTTGTGCAAAAACTTGCTACCAGTCTACACTGGCCATGTGTTCTTGCGCAAGTAAACTGACGTTCTAATGTATAAAATCAGGGCTTCTTGCGCGAGAACTCTGACGCTCCCGCTCAGGAATAAGCCCTCTTGCACAAGAGCTCTTCCAGAAGAGGCCAGTGTAGACAGGTAACATGAATTTCTTGCGCAAGAAAGCCCTATGGTTAAAATGGCCATCAGAGCTTTCTTGCGCAAGAGAGCATCTACACTGGCATGGATGCTCTTGTGCAAAAGCACATCTCTTGCGCAAAAGCACATGCCACTGTAGACGCTCTCTTCTGGAAGAGGTTTTGCAGAAGAACTCTGCAAAAGAACTCTTCTGCAAAAGTTTTTGCCTGAGAACATGTCAGTGTAGATGTAGCCTTAGGCTACATCTACACGGTGGTGCTATTTCAGGATGTTTCTGGTATCCGAAATAGCGTTTTCTGTGTCTTGACAGCATGCCTGTTATTTCAAAATATCTTCTAAAATAATGGGTGTGCTATTCCAACATCCCATTCCATGAGGATTAAGGGACATTTTGGAATAGTGCTCTATTTCAAAATAAGGTCGCTCAAATGGCATGGCTTATTTTGAGCTACAGGTGCAGCGTAGATGCACCTTAAGTTACAAAACTGGAGTGGGAGCTGCAAGAAGTTTGGAAGATAGGATTATAATTCAAAATTATCTGGTCAAACTGGAGACATGATCTGAAATAAATAGGATGAAATGCAATAAGGACAAATGCAAAGTAGTCCACTTGAAAAGGAACAATCGGCTGTTCAGATACAAAATAGGAAATTACTACCTACGAAGGAGTACTGCAGAAAGGGATCGGGGTATCATAGTGGATCACAAGCTATATATGAGTCAACAGTGCAACACTTGTGAAAAGAAACAGCTAAATATGATTCAGCAGTGTAACACTTTTTTAAAAAAAAAGTAAGTGGACATCATTCTAGGATGCATTAGCAAAAACATTGTAAGCAAGACACAAGAAGTAATCCTTCTGTGCTGATTAAGTCTGAACTGGAGTATTGTGTCCAGTTCCGGGCACCACATTTCAGGAAAGATGTGGTCAAATTAGAAAAAGTCAGAGAAAAGTCACAAAAGTGACTGAAGATCTAGAAAACATGATTTATGGGGAAAGATTAAAAAGATATGATTTGTTTAGTGTGGAAAAGAGAAGACTGAGAGTGGATGTGATAATGGTTTCAGTGCTGAGTCTTAGAGCTCATATTAAGGCCCCTTGTCTGGGGCTTAAGCCTTGGGCTTAAGCTTTGCCTTCTCTCCCGCATGTCCCCAGGATGCTGATGCTCTAGCTTCAGTCCCTTTTCCTGGGGTTGTCATGGTGCAATGAAGTTTGAGACCCATTGTTATCTTGATAAATGCCTGAGGTGGCAGCTGCCACTTGCTCTTTGCTTCCCTGAATGAGACATCTTACCAGTGTAGATGCCAAGCGAACAAAGTGAGGAAGCTTCCTTCCCCTTTTCATGGACAACGTCATACCATAATATGCTGACGTCAAAGCCTTACGGGTGACGTAACCATTCATCCAGCCAATCGTAGCTCTGGAGATGACGTAAACGACCTTAGCAACAGGACCGGTGCAAGTGGGCCAATTAGAAAATCGATGGGGGGTGGCAGGCAGCCAATGGGACACGGCGAGGGAGGAAGGAAGGCGGCAGGAGGGAGGCCGTCTCCCTCATTTTTCCCTCTGACAAGATGGCGGCGGCGCTGGCGATGGCGGCACTAACGGCTTTGTGTCCCTTCCGCGCCTGAGCTCGGTTCCGGCTTGGCCGGGGGCACCGAGCGGCGGCGAGATGACCGCAGAGCCCATGAGGTACGGCCCGGGACACTCGCCTGGCAGGCTCGGAGCAGCCCGCGCTGAGGAGAGGCAGCTGGGGATACTTTCCTCCCCCCCCCCAAGACGAGGGGCGGGCGGGCCCCCCCTCCCGGGGGGGGGCCGGGG